GTTTACATCTTTATCATTATATAAAGACCCTCTTTGACTCTTGTTATAGTTTTAGGCGTAAAGTTTGTTTTATATAGTATAAATACAGCTACTAATTTCCATTGTTTTGGAAAATAGTTTCTCATTCATTTCTGTGTTTAGCCTTGCCTTCCTGAACTGAACAAGGGTCAGAACTGTGATTGTTTTTTTTGGATGGGGTAAGAGAAATTCCAGAAAGATTAAATGTAAAAAACGCACACAAAAAATACTAGAAGCAAATTTTTGGACACAGATGGTAAAGGATTTTGTAAGCTTAAAAGCAGAAAAAATTACACACACACACAAAAAATAGACATGGATGCATAACACAGTTTAAAAAAATAAAAACAATAGAATTAAAATGGTAAACTTTGGAAAAGTTTGCAACAACTTATAGCAAAAAATTAATATCCTTCTTATTTAAACATATGATTCAAATAAAAATAATACTATGAATGAAGTAACAAACAGGAAAATGGTATGCTAATGATAAAAGAGGAAATACTAATGTTTAACATTTGAGAAATGTTAAATACTATTTATGATAAAAATAAATGCAAATACATGAAAGAAATAGCATTTTAGGCTTATAAAATTGATAAAGATTAAAATGTGATTTAAAAATGATTCTCAGACCTGGTAAATAAGCATTGCCATACCCTCTAATATTTTGTTGATTTGACTATAAATTAATGCAAACATTTATGCAAGCATATGGGCAATATAAATCAAGAATATAAAAGACTTACAGCACTAAGATATGAGGGAAATGCAAGTGAGAAAATGAAGGATTGCAGTTGGAGTGTAAGCCATGCTTTCACCAACACAATTCATAAATATACTATGTATATGTGAGGCAAGTAGGGAAGTCCACTAGGGATCTTACTGCATAAAGGTCTGCAGTAAGAATTGAAAATAAAGGAGCAGGTGGCAAGCACACCTGTAAGCATGTGCCAATAACTGTCTCAGTCTCCTAAGGGAGGAGAGATTGATTTCAGATTGGTCCTTGGGTCCATCTCTCAAAGATGCAGATGAGGAAGAGAATGGTTATGTGATATAGATGACAGTCTATTTACATAGTTTATGTGACTTCATTTATATCCTTTATTAGGACTTGGTCTGGGTAAGTATTCCCTTCCTATTATGTCCATTCTGAATATGTCCACTTTGGAAAATTCCTCTTAAGAATATTTTAAAAGTTGGGGTGTGGGAGCATAATGATGTTATTATCAACTATTCTTTTATTTAAAAAGTCATTAAACTGGGCACCTGGGTGGCTCAGTCAGTTAAATATCCAACTCTTGGTTTTGGCTCAGGCCATGGTCTCATGGTTCATGAATTCAAGCCCAACATCAGGCCCTGCACTGACAGCATGGAGCCTTCTTGGGATTCTCTCTCTCTCTCTCTCTCTCTCTCTCTCCCCTTTCCCCGGCTCATGTGCTCTCTCTCAAAATAAATAAACTTGAAAAAGTCATTAAATCATGTTAATTCTATTCCTACCATATCTCAAATTTAGATCACTTAAGGAGAATCAGATGCTCCACATGAGGTACATGATGAACTACACTCTGTACTAAAATCCCTTTTTCCTTGACTAAATCAGATTTTGTCAACCTTTAGAACAACTGATGCAAGGGTAATTATTATTGTATAAAACCATTATCCATATTTTAGAAATATACTTCTGAGGCACCTGGGTGGCTCAGTCGGTTAAGCGTCCAACTTCGGCTCAGGTCATGATCTCATGGTTTGTGGGTTCAAGCCCCCATTGGGCTCTGTGCGGAGAGCTAGCTCAGAGCCTGGAGGCTGTCTTTGGATTCCGTGACTCTCTCTCTCTCTGACCCTCCCCTACTCATGCTGTCTCTATCTCTCTCTCAAAAATAAATATTTAAAAAACATTAAAAATTTTTTAAAAAGAAATATACTTCAAAATGAAGTATATTTTTTCTGAAAAATGATTTTTAGATATTGACATCTCTAAAAATTATAAAACACCTTTCTTGTTCATCCCTTCCCCTAATTTCTTAGAGTTTATTATATATTTAAGATTAAAAGTTCATAATTAAAATATAAAACAATGTTTATTATTTTGATTTGTAAGAAATTAAGAAAATGCCAAAGAAAAATCTTACTTTTGGTTAATGCATATGAGGGTAGAAACACAATGATTCATCTTAACTTTTTCATTAAAGGACGTATGTGAGTCAGCCTACACTTTGTGTTTTGAGTTGATTGTCTCCTCACTCCATGAATCTTATTATTTATTTATTTATTTATTTATTTATTTATTTAAATTTCAGTTAACAGTTAATATACAGTGCAATTTTGGTTTCAGTAGAATTCAGTGATTCATTACTTACATACAACATCCAGTGTTCATCACAAGTGCCCTCCTTAGTACCCATCACCCATCTAGCCCATCTCCCACCTACCTCCCCATCAACCCATAGTCTGTTCTCTGTTATTAAGAGTCTCTTGCGGTTTGTTTCCCTCTCTTCCTCTCCCACTTTCCATGTGTTCATCTGTTTTGTTTCTTATATTCCACATATTAGTGAAATCATATGATATTTGTCTTTCCCTGACTGGCTTATTTCACTTAATATATTCTAGCTCTATCCACATGGTTGCAAATGGCAAGATTTCATTCTTACCATTTCTTTTTTTTTTTTTTTAATGTTTATTTATCTTTAAGAAAGAGAGAGACACACACACAATGAAAGTGGGGGAGGGGCAGAGAGAGACGGAGACACAGAATCCAAAACAGGCGCCAGGCTCTGAGCTGTCAGCACAGAACCTGACATGGGGCTCGAACTCACAATAAGCGAAATCATGACCTGAGCTGAAGTGAGACGCTTAACTGACTGAGTCACTCAGGTGCCCCAAGATTTTATTCTTTCAATGGCTGAGTAATATTCCATTATATATATATATATATGTATATGTGTGTATATAAGTGTATATATGTATATGTGTGTATATATGTGTATATGTGTATATATATATATGTATGTATATACACATCTTTATCCATTCATCAGTAGATGGACATTTGAGTTCTCTCCATACTTTTGCTATTGTTGATAATGCTGCCATAAACATTGGGGTGCAGGTACTCTCTTTGAATCTGTAGTTTTGTATCTTTTGGGTAAATACCGAGTACTGTAATTGCTGGATCATATGATACTTCTATTATTAGGTTTTTGAGTAACTTCCATACTCTTCTCCAGAGTGGCTGCTCCAGTTTGCCTTTCCACCAAGAGTGCAAGAGGGTTCCCCCTTCTCCGCATCCTCCCAACACCTGTTGGTTCTTGTTAATTTTGCCATTCTGACAGGTATAAGGTGGTATCTCATCGTGGTTTTGATTTGTATTTCCCTGACACTGAATGATGATGAGCATCTTTTCATGTGTCTGTTAGCCATCTGGATGTCTTCTTTCAAAAAGTGTCTACTCAGGTCTTCCCATTTCTTAACTGGGTTATTTGTTTTATGGGTGTTAAGTTTGGTAATTTCTTTACAGATTTAGGATACTAACCCTTGATCTGAATCAAATATTCTATTTGCAAATATCTTCTCCCATTCCATAGGCTACCTTTTCATTTTGTTGACTGTTTCCTTTGCTATGCAAAAGCTTTTGATTTTCAGAAAGTCCCAATAGTTCATGTTTGATTTTCTTTTCCTTGCATTTGATGACATGTCTACTAAGAAGTTACTCTAATTGAGGTCAAAGAGGTTGCTGCCTGTGTTCCCCTCTAGGATTTTAACGATTTCCTATCTTACATTTAGTCTTTCATCCATTTTGAATTTATTTTTTGTGTATGGTTTTATAAAGTGGTCCAGTTTCATTCTGCATGTTGCCATCCAGTTTTCCCAGCACCATTTGTTGAAGAGATTGTCTTTTTTCCATTGGATATTCCTTCCTGCTTTGTTGAAGTTTAGTTGACTATACAGTTGTGGATCCATTTCTGGGTTTTCTATCTGCTTCATTGATCTATGTGTCTGTTTCTGTGCCAGTACCACACTGTCTTGATCACTACAGCTTTGTAATATAGCTTGAAATATGGAATTGTGATGTCTCCAGTTTTAATTTTCTTTTTCAAAGTAGCTTTGGCTATAGGGGCTTTTTTGTTGTTTCATACAAATTTTAGGACTGTTTGTTCTAGTTCTGTGAAAAACGCTGGTGGGTATTTTGATAGGGATTGCATTAAATGTGTGGATTGCTTTGGGTAGTATAGACATTTTAACAATGTTTGTTCTTCCAATCCATGCCCTCTCCATGAATCTTTTGTGACAAGAAATTAATTTATTTGATGGAATATATGTCAAAGCAATAATGAGCAATGGACTCAGAGGGATTTGGCTGAGTGAGACCATGAAATACTGAATGAACTAACTGGCTTGATAGTCTCAGGGTTGAATGAAAACATCATTTTGTGACAACACAGTCATTCACTTCTTTCGGTACCAACAAGGTCTCTATTCTAGTCACCAAACAGCTAGATCACATCCTAGAGCCTCGTCACCAACAGAAGACTTGAAAAATTATTTTTTCCCTTGAATGGGCTAGGGCAGGTCCCACCAACCTGTGTCTTTGCTTTCTGACAACTAGGCATATCAATTTTTTAAGTTACTCCAGGTTAGGTGGATGAAACAAACTTCATTCAGCACCATATTCAATTAGTAACTAGTTTCCACTTTGAAGTGGAATAATCCTAAAGCTTTTGGACAAAGCAAACATAGTTGGACTTAGTTTGTCTACACTACTCCATTCCAGTACTTATTTCTCAGTCTTCACTTAATTTTCTTGCCAAATATAATAAAATAAGCAATCACACACTTAAACCTCTATACCAAGACCCAAGAGGTTATTTTCATCAAATGGCATATTCTTAAAGTAATCAAGTTAGCCATTATTAATGTATTTCATCACCTAACTGTTTTCTCATTGTCTTCAAACCAAATACAACAGGAATTCTCCAGGCATAGAAAGATACATTTATTGTTTCAATATTTTATGCAGAGCTGCCTTCACCTCCTGGTTCTTGAGGCTGTAGATGATGGGGTTCACCAAGGATGTGATCACACTGTACTGAATGGAGATCACTTGTTCCAACTTGGAGCCTGAGAGAGGAGTCATGTATCTGAATAAAGCTGTGCCATAATACAAAAGCACCACAGTAAGGTGGGAAGAACAGGTAGAGAAGGCTTTGCCTTGACCCTCAGCAGAATGTATGCCTAAGATGGCAGAGATGATTCTAGAATAAGAGAAGAGGATCAGGGGAAGGGTCAAACATCCCAACAGTGCACATGACCCAGCAAGAAGGGCCTCATTTGCAGTAGGGTCAGTGCATGACAGAGGGAAGAGTGAAGGCAGCTCACAGCAAAAGTGAGGGATGATACTGGGACCACAGAAATGTAAGTTGTAAGTGAAAAGATTATTTGGCAAGGAATTTAGGAATCCCACTGCCCATGCTGCAGTTACCATCCTGACACAGAGAGGCCTATTCATAACCATGGTGTAAAGGAGAGGGTGGCAGATGGCAGCATAGCGGTCATAGGCCATGGCAGACAGTAGGCAGGCCTCTGTGCTCCCAGAGAGTATGAGAAAGAAACTCTGGGTCACACAACCCCACACAGATATGGTTTTCTTTTGAGTTAGTAAGTTCTGCAGCATCTTGGGCATGGTTACTGAAGAAAGGCAGAGATCTAGAAATGACAGGTGACCTAGGAAAAAATACATAGGTGTTTTAAGGTGAGAATTAATTCTGATCACCAGAATCATCATCAGATTTCCCATCAGGGTCAAGAGGTAAATCACCAGGAACAGCGCAAAAAGGATGGTCTGGATCTGGGAATTTCTGGACAATCCCATGAGGACAAACTCGGTAATAATGGTGAGATTTTTCATGATTAAAGATACTGGCCCTAGAAGAAAACATAATGTATCTGAGTTATTTCAGATGAATAAGACTGTCTCTCTTATTTAAAAAAATATGACTTCCAGCTTAAAGGTATAAATAAAGACCTATGAGGCCAAGGAGTTTCCTTCTGGGTCACACTCATCACCTCCATTATTACGTCAATTTGGAGTGCTGGTGACATGTAGCATTCCAAAGTATCTCCTCTGTAACTGCTTCTTTGAACTTTAATTCTCATTTATTCTGGAAACAATGAATAAGCATCCTAGTGCTGGGCGCTGTACCAGATTCTGAGAATTCAAAATTGCTTCAGACATGATTCCTGCCCTCAAAAGGGCTTAGGGCTTAGAATTTAACAGAGGCAGAGACATGTAAAGAAGTAAAATAAAGACTGTAATAACATAAAGCACAGGATACAGCAACAGCAAAAATGTGAATCAATTATCTCTTGATGACCTGGTAAACAAAGAAGAGGTAATGCTTAAGACTCTTTTGACTAATATTTACTCCACTAAGTAGACAAAGTAGACAAACATTAAGATAATGTTCTAGACAAAGGAAATGGTATTATCAAATATAGAGAGGCATGAAATAATAGCACCTCTCTGAAGAACTTCATTATCTCAGAATGAGTGGGTGCAGGGTGATACACAGGGACACGTGGTGCCAAGCATGAGGGTCATGTGATCAAATTGGTATTTTAGGAGCATTCATCCCACAGGCATGTGGAAGATGAGCAGAAAGTTATGGAGCATCTAGTTAGGGCAATTAGTTCATTCTTTCGGTAGACAGGTACTGAGTATCTACTATGTGCCATACACAGTTCTATACTCTTAGGGTGTGCCACTGAACACAATAGACAAAAAAGTTTTGTCTTCACAGAGTTTACATTCTAGCTGGGAAATTCAGAAAATAAATAATAGATGTAACAATTAAATATCAACTGATGAACGGATCAAGAAGATGTGGTTTATCCATACAATGGAATACTACATGGCAATGAGAAACAATGAAATCTGGCCATGTGTAGCAACATGGATGGACCTTGAGGGTGTTATGCTGAGCGAAATAAGTCAGGCAGAGAAGGACAGATACATGTTTGCCCGTATAGGAGGATTAGGAGGAACTTAACGGAGGACCATGGGGGAGAAGAAGGGGGGAAATAGTGGGGGATAGGGAGGGAGGCAAACCATGAGAGGCTCTTGAATGCTGAGGAGAAACTGACGGCTGATGGGGGTGGGGGAGAGTGGAAGGAGGGAGATGGGCATGGAGGAGGGCACTTGTTGGGATGAGCACTGGGTGTTATATGGAAACCAACTTGACAATAATCTATTAAATATATATATCATGTATATATATATAATGTGTTAGAAGGTACTATGATGTGCTTCCTATATAAAATAAAAGATCATGGAAACAGAGATTGTTAATGTGGGATAGAGGAGGACAGTGAGGTTTGCAAATTAAATAGAGTGGTCAGGAAAAGAGACTGAGACAGTGTCACTCAAACAAGGATTTGAAGGAGATGAGGTCATTCTCCCTGCAAATATTCTACAGAAGGAGAATTGGTAGAGTATAGCAGTAAGCCTGGTCAGAGATGGTGAAGGGTTAACAGAAACTGCTGCAGCAGTGAGGGCAGACAAAAGGAAGCAGATTTAAGAGATATCATTGAGATGAGTTCTAAAGAATGTCATTACCAACTGATAGTTAGGGCGAATGAAAGTAAATAAAAAAATGATTCTCAGGTTCTGCCTTTGGTGATTGAGGGATCCCATTCACTGAAACAGGTGACCCAGGGAAAGCAGCATGTTTGAGGCAAAGATAATAAACACAGTTTTGAATATGTTGTTTGATGAGCCTTGTGGGACAGTGAGGGCATGTCCAGGAGGCACTAGGAGTTTAAGTCATGAAGTTCAGGAAAGATATTTGGGCTGAATATATGAGTCAAAGAGTCATTAACAAACTTACCCAGAGTGAGCCCACTCATAATAGAAGATGCTCTAGGAAGGAGTTCCATGTAACAGAAGAATCCAATGGGAAAGAGGGAAATAGAAACTCACAAAGATCCTGCACTCATTCAGAATGGTCAAGCATGGACCCATGCCTTTCTGATTTGAAATACTCACTGCGGGTCATAGAACCCAATGCCCTCTCTTTATAGGTCAGGAACCCGAGGCCCAGTGAGGAGAATTGAACTGTAACTCCTCTTATCAACTCCATTACTCACCAATCTACCCATGATCTTTGTTCCTCTTTCTCTGCCTATCCTGTTAAGAACCCTCAGGTCTCAGCTCAAGGATCATTTCCTCAGGAAAGCCCTTACTCTCCATCCTACCACTGTAATTTCCTTTTTTTACATTTGTTTCTCCTTTAATATGCTTGCTCTAATTGTATAAAATTTTTTTTAAAAAACTTAAGGTATTTAAGAGAGGTCTTCCCAACCTTCCTCAACTTTTCCCCATCTCTTGTAGTCAATCTTTGTCTTATTACCTGTCTTTGTCCTTACAACACTTATCAGCACCTGGTATTTTATAAGACATTTATTATCTACTTTCTCTTCCACTGGAATGTAAATTCAAAGACTTGTCCTGTTATGGTCATTACTGTATCCCTAGGACTTAGAAGAGTGCCTAACATATAGAAAGGGTTCAGTATATATTGAATAAATGAATTTTTTCTTGTCTCTCTGTGTTTTAAGAAGTTCCATGGAGACATGGACCATGTTAGTGTTTTTAATCTTTATATCCTCAGAGCTTAGCACAATGCCTAGAACTTGGTAGGTACTTAGTAAAGGTTTATAGTATAAATGCATGAGAACATCACGAAGCTAGCTCTTACACACTATCCTACATTTAATGTAGGAGATCAGAAAAGCATTTTTGATTATTGAATAAGTAAAAGAATAAAGGAAATAAATGAATATCTGATTCATAAACAACACCATTAGTGAGACATAAACTGCTCTGGTTAGTAAGATGTCATATTATACTCTGATGCCCAAGGCCCTGTCCTAGGAAAGGGTCAGTTTGAGGTTCCTTTGACTCTCTTGAATGGATGGCAGTGAGGCTGTACAAAGAGTCAGAAGACCATGACACAAGTCTCAGCTACTGGTTAGGCAAGTAGGCAAATCTGAATCTGGACTTCTATTTTCTCATTAGAATTATCTCCAGAGGTCTACACGGCAAAAATTGAATTATTTAAGGATTTAAAATCTTGTTTCTGGAGAGGAGGGAAGATGGCAGCAGACTGGAGAACCCCTAGGCTCATCGGGTCCCACAAACACAATTAGAAAATACAATGGTCTAAAATTTGTATGGAACCACAAAAGACCCCGAATAGCCAAAGTAATACTGAAAAATAAAACCAAAACGGGAGGTATCACCATCCCAGACTTTAGCCTCTACTACAAAGCTGTCATCATCAAGACAGTATGGTATTGGCATAAAAACAGACACATAGACCAATGGAATAGAATTGAGAACTCAGAGCTGGACCCTAAAGTATACAGCCATCTAATCTTTGGCAAAGCAGGAAAGAATATCCAATGGAAAAAAGACAGCCTCTTTAACAGATGGTGTTGGGAGAACTGGACAGCAACATGCAGAAGAATGAAACTAGATCAATTTCTCACACCATACACAAAAACAAACTCAAAATGGATAAAGGACCTGAATGTGAGACAGGAAACTATCAACACCCTAGAGGAGAAAGCAGGAAACAACCTCTTTGAACTCCACTGCAGCAACTTCTTACTTGACACATCCCCAAATGCAAGGGAATCAAGAGCAAAAATAAACTGTTGGGACCTCATCAAGATTAAAAGCTTCTGCACGGCAAAGGAAACAACCCACAAAACTAATAGGCAACCAATGGAATGGGAAAAGATAGTTGCAAATGACATATCAGATAAAGGGTTAATATCCAGAATCTATCAGGAACTCACCAAACTCCACACCC